TTGTCTGGATAAGTTACGGTGCAATTGAGCGACGGCGTTCAAAGTGAATCAGACGAAGCGTTCGACGTTCACCACGCTTTCAAACGTTCACAAAAGCGAAACGCGCCATGCTTATGTCTGCGTGCATGCAACATCAAACGGCCAGCTTGAAAGTGACTTGTACTATACAGTTCTTACGAAGCAAGTAACCTTTCCGATGCGCCACTTGGATCATCGCTGCAGCTCTATAAATAGAACAAGTAATTTTTTTTTTCTCGCGAACCCGACTTTTTTTTTCAGCACGACGTCGCCCCTCTCTTTATGCTCCTCAAAGACGCCGCTCAAGCCGGAGTTACGAAACAGCAACGTCAAGCAGAAAAAAAAAAAAAAAATGAAGAAGAACGTTCAAGTCACACCGCTCAGGAATGTGTTGCGGCTGAGAGCCCACCCCTATAGGAGCGAAGTATACGTTCCTACAGCAATAGAACTGCGTGCGGTGGCTTTAAAAGCGTTCTTGAAAAGAGGCAAACCCGTGTCACGGCCGCGTGTCTCGAGTCGACTTCTACGCGCGCGGCTTTTAGCCGGAATGAGTGAATCCACAATAATTGAGCTCGTCCTCGAGGTTCAAGTTATGCTTAAATTGCAAGGAGCGCAAACATATGGGCAAGTTATCCTCTTCGTTCCTCCTTGTGGCCGCGTTTCCTCTGGTATATATAGCGCAGACTGTGAAGCTCATTAGCGGTTCTGCGAGTTTTTTTTTTTTTTTCGCATCCGTTGGCGTTTCCGCTCGCTTTGCGGTAGTATGCGTAGATACTAAGCGTCAGATTTTATCCTCGGCGTCGGTTCGAACCCCTTCTTCTTACAAAGCAGAACAGATGGCCTAGCACTCCTTGATCCACAAAGGGCTGATATTTATACGGACTCTAAATCCGCTGCTAGGGCCTTCGCTTCTGATTCCGTGTGCAAGGAAGTTTTGAGAATTCTCGCTTACAAGGAACTCACCCACCACACAATTATTTGGTTCCCTGCTCACCTCGGCTTGAGGGTCGGAGGCCTTCCCAATGTCAACGAGCTAGCCCACTCCAAGGCGCGAGGCTTCACTTACCGCGCCGGGACTTGTGCTTCTCAGACAGAGGAGTCAGCCAGCAGCCTTCATTTTAGGGACATTTTGACTAGCTTCAACGAGATCACGAAGCATTATCAATTAGGCCGTAGGTCATTTCCATTGCCACACGAAAAGTTGTCTAGGCCACAGGCAATCTCTCTTCGCATGCTTCAGACGGGAACATACCCTAGCCTCGTAACCTATAGCCATTACTCCGACATTTCAGAACTTTGTCCAGACTGCCAGAATCGCAGTGATTTTAACCACATGCTCTGGAGGTGCCCCTCTTTACAAAGAAAAAATGAAGAATTTTCTGAGAACTCCTTTCATTTAATGCTCACGAGTCCGGTTCTCATACAACAATTCAAGGCTGTCCAGAAGGCCCACGATGCGGCGGTGAGGCTGGGCCTCCCCGTCCCAACTGGGAAGCGGCCCGCGATCCTACCCCTATAAAACGGGGGTGCAGTTCTTCAGGACCCCAATAAAAGTCTTTCATCCATCGTCCATCCATCCTTTGTGATGATGCAGCTTGAGTCCCGGGCTCAAGTCGCACGCCTGGCCCTTTGGGTACTCGGTAAGAACCCCGTAGTCTGAACCAGCCGGAAACGACACGGTTTCCCTCGCCGTTATCAACCGTCAATTGAGACACTTCGCTTTGAGGCCGCTTATCGACGCTCACTTGTTGTTCTCCCCCAATGCGAGGGAAACAGTGTCGTCATTATCAAAGTGAGACACGTTCGCGCCGTTTCCGCTAACGTCACTCAATGGCCATCAAAGTTTCGGTGGAGTTGTGAGGTGCTCCGTTGACTCGATAGACTCAATGGCCTTGGAAAGCGCCCGCGTGGCAGCTCGTGACTGATAAGTGAATCAATCGGCCGTCGGTTCAATGGCCTTTCAAATACCCGCGTGACACTGGTATGAAAGTTCAGTTACCGAGCGTCAAACTTATGACCTCTCGCTCGTCAGCGCGCGGCGCGAAACCACAAATCTTCAGAGCGTATGTTGTCCAGCTTGCTATAGGCGAGCTATTTATAAACACCATATACCATAGAATTTCATAAAATAATACCTAGAGGGCGATCTGGCGCTAGTGTATACGCGGATTCCTTTAGCGACGCTTTTAACCCCTTGATAATTATGCATGAAGTACAGGTTTCGGATCTTCTTCGGATGTATCGCGTTCTTGAGATTCGTGACGCTTGTTTGCTGAGTGTAGAACAAAGCGATATGATGTCATATTTGAATTAAACTTGCTTCATTCTTTTGTACCTACATTTTATTGCAAAACGATAACCACACAATGCGGTAGAAGTGAAACCTGGACAAATATAACTACCAGTGTATGCATTGCTCTGTCACCACATTCCAGATTTAGCATCAAGATGTAATGAATTATTTTTGAAACATCTGAAAAAAAGAAATACTTGTTTTGCCCTCGAAGGTACGCATTATCCATTTATGGAAATAACAGTACAGTATTAGGTTGCAAACACTTATCGTTTCGTCTGCTGCGATGCCAGGTGCGTCAGTCCAAGTGGTCTGCCACCAACATACCTCTCGTTTTGTAGTGAAGATAGTCAGGGGAGCTTGACGGTGCTTCTACTTAGCTTCGCTGTCGTTATGCAGTTGATTTAAACGAGTGTTCGGCGAGACGGGCTAACGAAAAAACTTGAACTCGGTGTAATAATCTGCACTGGCACGAGACGCTACATCTATTCGCAGCGGTCAATGGACGACGCGTCGCTTAAACTGTCAAATACGACTTGTAAAGCTCCGAAGCCGCAGCAACTATCAGGCCGAGTGGCCTTCGGCCTCTTTGAACAACAAAGGCGCTGTTTCAGTGCTTTATACCACACCCCACTACCCACGCTGCGCGAAGAACGAAACTGAAACTGTGAAAAAAAAAAAATCGTAGACAGTTCGCTAGCTAACGCAATCCAACCCGAAGCCTCTACTTCCCTTATTTCCCACAGGCTATACCGTTAGCCGTCCTCAGAGCTCAGCAAGTTCAGCGCGTTTTCCTCACCAGTAGCGAGATGGCGCGAAAGGCGCGCGTAGGGCGGGGCTTTAGCGGTGGGCGCGCTGTAAATGTCGTCACCCCACGCGATGCGATGCGCGCGCCTCCACAGGGCGTGTGGTTTCGTGAGCACGCGCTTGTCTGATTCTGGCGCTTTGTACGTCTTCTGCTCCCATCATGCCTCCACCGAAAGTTTGCTTTGAAGTTACAGTGATTAAAGAAAGTGCGAAGGTCACATCGCTCGCTGCCTCGTTGACGATAAGAGCGCAATCTGATTCTGGCGCTTTGTACGTCTTCTGCTTCCACTATGCTTCCACGGCAACTTTGCTTTGAAGTTATAGTAATTAAATAGAGTGCGAAGGTCACATCGCTCGCTGCCGCGTTTACGAAAGGAGCGCAATCTGATTCTGGCGCTTTAGTACGTCTTCTGCTCCCATCATGCCTCCACCGCAAGTTTGCTTTGAAGTTATAGTGGTTAAAAAGAGTACAAAGGTCACATCGCTCGCTGCCGCGTTTACGAAAGGAGCGCATTGCTCACACACGAGAAGTAAGAAGCCGAGCTGTGACAGTTGCTAGTCGGCGCTCGTTCAGTGAACGTTAATTTGGTGCGTGCTTTCTGCTTAAAGTGCGTGCCGAACGTTTCGAGCTGCTTGCCATGACCTCACAATTTGTTGGTGTCGCATTCATTACTTCACCTTTGCGGATAAACAATGCGCAATTAACGCCCAACTGCCTCTGCGAAGACACGTTTCACTTTCGTGTTACACCGATTCTTAGACAGAGGGATCAGCCGTGCTCTTAAACCGTTTTTCTCTGCTACAGAATTTTACAGCAGCGGTTCATAGAATTCCAATGCCTGAGAATATTCGAATATGAGCACGACTTCTAGTATTTGTAGCGCGGTGCAACGAGGTTGCTTTCTCAGTTGTTACATACTGTTGCAACATTTGAATAGCATCTTTCCCCCTTTTTATAATCAATAAAATTTCACGTGCTGATATTTTCCGGTTCAGTAAAAACAGTAAATAAATGCGTATACAATACTTTCGTTAGAAGTACAGGTGTGCATTCTTAAAGGTTATTTCGCCACCATTTCAAATTTCGGTCCGTGACCGAGCGAGCGAGCACCCCCTCCCCTTCTAATCTTGTGCGATTATCTTTCACAAGGGGAGGGGGGTCTGCTCGGAATTTTAGAGATGAAAACTTTGCAAAAAAAAAGCAGGTCCGAAAAGCTGACTTGAAGACGAGTCCATTTGTCGAAGCGTCAGCTCCAGCAACACCCCGTGGTCTAAATGTTTTCATCTCTTTATAGTTCAATCTTCCACGTGCCGAACTTCTGTCTCAGATAGATAGATAGATAAATAGATAGATAGATAGACAGATAGATAGATAGAAAGAAAGAAAGAAAGAAAGAAAGAAAGAAAGAAAGAAAGGAAGAGGTCCGAGTGGCCACGGGTCGTGGCTGAAGAAAAACGTCCGACGGAACCATCAATGAGAATGTTGTAGGCCCGTGTGATCAGATTTGGGTGCACGTTAAAGAACCCCAGGTGGTCAAAATTTCCGGAGCCCTCCACTACGGCGTCTCTCATAATCATATGGTGGTTTTGGGACGTTAAACCCCACAAATCAATCATCAATCAAATCAACCATCAATGAGAAATATCGTAACTTATGAAAGATAAAGTTGGCACCCAGCCGCCCGTAGAAATTTCGGAACTACGACGCTTTACTTTGTGAGACACCCGCACGCCTTTCCTGGCAGCTATGAGCTACAAAAGGCCGCGGATGTCACTTCACCCTTGCTTCCACCAAGCGGGATCACGCTCAACTGATGCGCCATATTATAATTTACGAGCTGCAGTGTCACTGCATGCATTCCGCTCATTCTCCCGGCCTTACCCCGCAGGAGGCGAGGTTGTCGTGGCTGTGTTGCTCTCCACAGGCAGCTGCGGGCGACGGCGGTGACAAGCAGTCCGACGCGGCGCCAACAGCCGCGGCGGGTGGCGAGGCGACGGACGACGCACCGCTGCTGTTGCTGGCCGGGGAGGAGAAGCCGGGCCTCTGTTGAGCCGAGCGACGTTGAAGGCGCTTCCGCTTCTCCGCAAACTGCACGAAAAGATAAAGCAAGGAAGGACAGCAATTAGCGAAGGGATGCAGGGGTATATCAACATGTAAAGTGTCTATTAGACCTTGCTTGTGGGCTAGAGTTTGGTAATACGCCATCTGGAACGTTGAATACGACCAACTTGCTACCGGTCTCGCAAATTGACTCGAAGCCCGACGAACGACGTTCACAGGCAAGCGAGCATTTCGCGTAGAGAATACGCCTCCTCAAACACGTCGAAGGTTCTCGAAGAAATGTCTCGAATGAAGGGCTTTCGAATGAAGCCCCCCCTGCATCAGAAAGATCTGTCGGTTGTTTCAAAAACCACGGATAATGAAAAACAAAGCCTTACGGAAAGGACGCCGGCGCGGACGAGTCGAAAGAGTGTTTCGATGTACAGCGATCGACCGTATCACGACGAGCGCTATAGCCATGGCCATGCAGAAAAGCGAATGTGCGGCCGCCACCCGTAAAATCATCCTCGTCCGAATGCATGTAAAGGTTACGTTGTCCCCGGGTTCAAACTGTGCGAGGAGCGCAACGAGTTTACCTCGAAATCCTTCGCAGACATGCGGTAGCCGGTCAAAATAACCCGCGACTGATGATGATGATGATCCTCTCTCACTGATGGCGCTCCCCCACAAAGGGGGATCTGCCAAGAACCGGGAGGCAGAATCTTTTAAGTTATAGAGGACTACGGATACGAAAGCATCCAATGGAAATTAAGTCCGGAAATCGAATTGCGAATACCGAATGAAAATGCTGCATGCACGAGAAAACAGTCAGCCTGACGGATCGGAGCCGGAAATAAGACTAAATGTGAAAATATGCCGCGATTGCTTGAATGACGGGCTCGACGCTCGCGCTATACCTAACTGCAGTTTTGCCTTTCTCAGAATCTACAGCACGCTACTATGCTATACCAGCAGTTGCGGCGAAAAGTGTTTATAAAGATTACTAAATTTTAACACGGCGAAATTGTACGCCATACGAAATCCACGATGCAGAAACCGATATCACATTATTTATACGCAGTCCTGTATACGCAGTCGCAATCGTCATGACGTCAATGAACGGAGCAGGAAGATAACCATCATCATCAGCACCAACGAAGTGTACAATGAGCGTATTGCTTTTTGAACGCGTAGTGGGCAGCTCGCCGATTCGAAGAATGATGACAATAATGTTCCTCTCACATTTCCGGCACTCGCCCACAAAGGCGATCGGCCAGGAACACCGGCCGGCAGGATCTTTAAGTTCGTGAGATATGGATCTGAAAACATCCAATGTAAATCAAGTTTATAAAATCAAATCATAAAAAAATCAACGAAACTGCTGCACGAGCGCACGGTCATGCAAACAGATACGCTCGGAGTCAAAAATAAGAAAAAGAATGTACTAAGAATGTATTCTTATTGTTTCCATTACGTACGCAAACACAGCCGAGCGAACCTCACTGTTACTATTACCTAATGTAATCCCTCCGAAGCATGAAATCACTGAAACGTTTATTTCTAAACCCAGCTTTTCAATCCGATCGACAAGGTGTGTTTTTTCGTATAAGAATATCGGCGACAGAATAAAAAAAAAAGCACATTGTTTCTATTTCCTTGCAAAAGAAACATAACAAGACGCTGTGCGCCCAACTTTACGTAAGTGATTCATACGCAGAATTGTACTGCGTAATCTGGTGATGAACAACGGCGTATTGGGCCCTTCGCAGCTCTATACACTTGCAGAAGGCATGCATTTTACAAGAGAGCTTAAAGCGGTCGTCGGCACAGACGTTTCTTTCCTCGCGGCACACGGATGATTTGTTACCCTGGCAAGCGAATGAGATGATGACACAAAAGGGGCCCGATTAGGCTATCGTGTTCTATATGCTTTCAAACAAGAAGCTTGGGAGTGCGCCTAATTTCATTTTTATGATGCTTTGCCTTTCCCGACACATCCGTTTTGCATCATGTGCCACCGCATCGCCAATACAGCATTTCTGAATATATCAGCCTCCCCTTATGTACAGTACGTGTGCTTGCGACAATACCCGTCTCCATGACGGTACCCGCCCTCGTAATGCGCGTATACCCTAACCGGTAGTATGTGTATATACAGGGTGTCCCACGTAACTTTAGCCAGAGTTAAAAAATATGGCCGAACACGTAATTATACGACACGACCAAATGCATGTTGCTTACCGTTGCCTTGAAAATAGACTAGTTTTTGTGTTCTCAAATATTGTTTAATTAGACCTGTTTATTGAATAACTCTTAAAGGAACGAAGATGCATAAAAATTTCAATGAGGAAGTTGTAGATCGGTTTGCAAAACATCCCAATGATAGTGTTGAACTTTACATCTGTTAAGTATTAGTGTTTTTTCTGCTAATTACAAATGTCCGCGAAATACAAAAAAAAATACCACGTGGCGTATCCGCTCACGCGTCAGTGCGCACGATGATTCTAGCGCTCCCTAACGTTCCGCGTACGAACTACGCGCTTCTCTCGCACCGGTTCATGACAGCGATAAGCAATCACAGAGGTTATCGTTCTTGTGGCCGATAGCAAAACGTGTTCATCGTAAAGCCGCCACCATGGTTGCGGCCCTGCCGAGGCAGCGCAACGGGGCAAATGTTGTCTATGGCCGTCCGTACGCGGAACGTTAGGGAGCACGTGGTATATTTTGTATTTCGCGGACATTTGTAATTAGCAGAAAAACACTAATACCTAACAGATATAAAGTTCAAAACTGTCTAATAGGACGTTTTGCAAACCGATCTACAACTTTCTCACTGAAACTGTTCATCCATCTTCGTTTCTTCAAAAGTTAGTTAATTAAACACATCTAATTAAACAATATTTGAGAACACGAAAAAAATAGTTTAACTCCAGGCAAGGGTGAGCATCAAGCATTTGGTCGCGTCGTATTTACGCGTCCCGGCATATTTTAAAACTCTGGCTAAAGTTACGTGGGACACCCTGTGTACCGGGTGTTCAGTGTTAAGCATTATGATTTTTCCAAAACGGTGAGGAACACGAAAACCACCTTTGAAGACAACTTATGTATCCAGGGGGACACAAAGTGAGGCAATGATTCTGGCTCTCAGTGACCCAATTAAGTGAAGACTTAATACTTGACTTTTCAGTGACTGCGGAAAGCGGGCGTATTTGTATTGAAAAGTTTGGAGGCATTCGAATTTTTAGAATACCACAAAGCTTAACTTTTAACACCCAGTCTATAATTAGACACTACGCATTAAAAGGTACGACAACCAGGAACGTCGTAGCCGTACATCCGGAAAAAACTGAGACCACCTGGGCACACCAAATTTAACGGACATTTAAATGCAAATGTCGGGGCGTTTTTCGCACTTCGTCCAATGAAAATGCGCTGTGGCTACTGTCTGTAGTCGGGAATCGGGAGTATGAATGCGGGGCTTGTTTATGTAGGATCACAGAGGCATCTTTAGACGCGACTTGAAACACTGAATAAAAGCCGACATACGCAAGAACACGAAGGACGCAATCAAACCCGCGTCCTCACGCGGCACGACATACCTTACCTGCTAAGCTAAACATACAGCGGCGGGTTGTATAGACTCCAAGAGCTGGGCCAACGTCACCGAGGCGTCGTCGTTGACTCCGCACTGATGCAACCCAGGTTTATAGCGCAGTAGCGCCTAGCCGAAGGTGCCATTAAAAAGGACGCGAACAAGACTACGCCGAGCATATAATAAAGCAGTGGATACATCTAAAGCAATTTATTTTTCACCTAGACACGTGGCGCTTTCGCCATGTAATGGTGCTTATAATTACGCGACATATTCGCAGACTATATATACTTGAAAAAGCGTGAATATGGCATTTCAACATTGCGTGCAATGCGTGAATAATTGCGCTTGTACACATGTACACACTTCTAGTCTCTCTATATATAGCGCTTAGTTGTACATTGGTTCAGCACCCATACACGAGTCAAAAGCCACCTGCAGCATTTAATGTTGCCTGCCTGCATGCAATTCGTGAAGGCGCGACATCACAACTACAGAAAGAGGTATACGCTGAGCATGCAATGGAACCGTTAAAAGGAGCCGCATAGTAACTAAGCAGAGGGAGAGAGAGAGAGACATCCAACGCAACTTTTCAAGATATCTACGGGATGCCGTATAGAGGTGGCAACGCCTGGTGCCACCTTTCTCAGAGGCGTGCCAGACGCCCCATACACAGCACCTCGCAACCCCGCGCCGGACGGCTTCTATATAATTGCCCCGTTTATTCTCACGCCCAGTCACGATGCATGTAATAAAGTGCGTCTCGCAACAGAGACATGCGCAACACACACACACACAACGCGTCACCAGCGTGCTTCTTTTGTTCGCACGACCAGCAGGCCGCACTGCGCCATAAATAATACATATCTGCCGGTGACGACATCGGAAAAAAAAACGGGCGCGCTTCAAAGAAGCGCCGTGCGCCCTTCCGAATAAGTGGCGTTGGTGCACTCGAGCGCAATTTTGCACAATTAGGCGAAGCACTGTAGGGAGAGCTGAGGTCTTGTGCGTGCGTTGTGCAACGGTGCGCGATTCGAGCGTGCACAATAGCGATGGAAAGTACAGAACACCGCGGAAGTGACACTTTGCTCGAAGGAGACGCCTTTGGAAATGGAGCTTATTATACGGTAGCATTTTACCGTATAGTGAGGCGAATGTTTCTATACGCGTGCAATCCGTATATGAAAGTCACGACGACGTTGAGGTTATATATTAATGGGACAGCGATTCTTTTCCCATTAAATTTAAGTTAGAATTCTGCCTATACGAAATTTCGAGCGTTATCCCTTTCACTTATTCTGAGAGGCTGTGGCTCGCTCCAAGCACGCCTTCCTGCCTCCGTTGCAGCAATCGAAGTACCTGCCACCTTCAAAAGTGCAAGTATAATGATATATTGCTGGACGTCAAACAATATATCATTATACTTGCACTTTTGAAGGCGGCCTCTCTGTAAGCC